GCTCCGATGGGATGAGTTGTTGATCTGAAAAGCTAGTTTAATTTGAGATACTTAAGACTGAAAGAGATACCTGAGGGAGAAATTGGGTATATGTGTTTCACAGAGTATTATAAGGGATTGGGAGATAGATATCTTGAACTCTGTCAGTATTCTGCATGCCTGAACACCATCAGCACAGCTCATCCGAGCAGGTAAGCAACAGCACAAATAGTACTTAGGGATAGAGTGGGGCTCTCAGGCCGCATCAGTTTCAGTAGCTAGCTCTGGGACGATTTTAAATTTCCTTGTGAAACACAGCAGTAGCCTTTAGAAAAATTCCTTAAAGAGCACTGCAAAAATGTCAGCACAGTGTCCAACATTATAGCTTGCAAGTGATTCTGGGGAAAAGATAAGGAAAAAAAAAAGCAATAAAAGACATCCAATCTCTTTGTGACCAAGTAAAAAAGATTTTTCTGATGTCCAGATTCCCTTACTAAATCTGGGACCTTGGAGTGAAGCTGTTTCTTGTTTTCTCTTCCTGGAATAGCCACTGCTACCAGCAATAGCCCATCAGCTAAACTCTGCCCCTGTGACACCCTTTACACTTTGTTTTTTTGCCTTGGGCTGGAGTTTACCCTAATGCTTTTACCTGCTGTACCCGGCTGTGAGGTCCAAGCCATACCTGCAGGGGGGTAGAACGGGTTCATGTGCGCTGCTGACATCTCTTTCTATCGAGCAGGAGCGTACTGCAACTCCGTGAAGCAAACAGCTTCATCCTGGCTGCCTGCGGGAACTCAGCAGCAGGAACTGCGCTGCGGGTGCTGCATGGCTGCGCAGCTCCTACCTAAAACAGCCTGAGGAAACGCGGCAGGGGTGGAAAGTCATAAACTGTGATTTTTCAGTTGGTTCTGGCTCAGTGAAACAAATGTCGCTGGAAACTATCATTTTATCTTCAATGGCTGATATAAGTAAAAATTAGTCCAACAAAAGTGTGGAAAACTGATCTTGCTTCTTTGAGACAAATGACAACTTAGAGGTTTCATTTTTGAAATTGTGTTTTCAAACAGTGCTAATGAGGGAACAAGCTTTGCATCGGCAGCCTATAAAAAACATTGGTTTTGTTGTTTTGGTCCCATTTTGGTGAACATTTTAAAATCTGAGAACAAACTTGAAAGAGCGAAAGTATAAACAATATTAAAATGCTTCACAGAAAGGAATAAAATCACTATTGTTTTGTTTTGTCTTGATTTAAATTTGAAAGGAATGTTTGAAAATTGTTGATGGGTTCTACTCCTAGTGAACTGGTGAATACCTCTGCTTTATTAAAAAGGTGTAATTACTGCAAACATTGACATTAAAATGTATGCATTTGTTAACAGTTCTGTAACTACACTCGGTGCTTGGTTTTTGAAAGCGAGGCCCTATTACATGCATAAATGGTTGGTGACTCTTTAATGACAGCTACAATAATGGTTTCCCACTGTTCCCAAAAGGACCACATCTCCATTTACATCAGAGAAGTCTGGCACAAAATGGAACATAAATCTAAAGGTAGTTTTCAAAGTTAAGGCTCTGGGGTCTTAACAGTCACAGCTGGCTGTTCGTCTGGTTTTTACTTTTGTATGGTATTTCTGATTGCATAAAGAGAAGAATGACTGCAAAGAGATCTTGTCTTTCATTGAACCATAAAGACAGCTTCAAGTTGTTGTCACTGGAGTAATGGGGCCTTTTTCAGCAAATGGAATTGCATAACTTTATTCTGAAACAAGCAATCGACTCAGCCTGCAAAGCCGTTGAGCAGAGCTTGGAATGGATGGTGCACTTGAAATGTCTGTGGGGGCATCTATCTGCCAATGACTGGAAAACAAATATCATTTTCTCCTTGATGAATTATACAGCATAAAATAGCAAAGAAGAGAACTAAAAGCAATGGCCCATCCAGTCTAGAAGTATGCAGTACCATATGCTTTTGACACAGGCATATGAAACTTTCAGCATGGAGCTACAAAATAAACTGTCCACCAAAACAGCTTTTCTCTAAGTCATGATAGTTAGAATATGTTTTATGTGCTAGAACTTGAGGTTTATAGCCTTTTCCCACTTCTTCTGCTACTCCCTAGTATTTACTGCTGGAATTCTCATATAACCAAAAGGAAAACATACCAGGATGGATTTTCTTCTGGCAGATATAACTGTAGTTTCAATGAAGCTTGTGCATCCTTTCAGATTTATACCAGTTGAGTGCCCCTACTCTGATTTCTTGCTCTATACAGCCTTTTTTTTTTTTTTCCAAAGTTGCAGTGACAAAGGGGCCATCTAAAGGTGAGTAGATCATCTCTGTTTGCATCTGCCTGCCTTATTAATGGCTGAATCTTCACATCTTTCCATATTAATTTGAAAAAACTATATCTGTGCTCCAGCCAAAATGACAGTCAAGAAGCAAAACACTTAGTAAGAAAAAGTTTGTGATGAAGGATGAGTTTCTAACTGTGCCAGTTCACTGACAACGTATTAGTTTTATGTCTCTGCCCCTTGCACCATCCTTTGTCTTCAAAAATAATCAGCAAACAATTCAGGGGGAGCAATTGGCGTATTCCCTAATGAGACAAGATAAAGTGTCCTGTAATGATGATGACAGCAAATTCACTAAGTGAACTGCAGTTTGAGAACTTTGCAAATTGATCAAACCGTGATTCCTTGATTGCTTACTTAATCGCCTGTTACAGTCTCTTTCCTGACCCTCCATATCCCGGTTGCTTTTGTCAGCACTTCGGCGACGGAGGGACTCTCTGTTCTCCCCTCAGGTTGTGAATAGTGGATGAATACGTTCTGGTTTGGGGATTTTATTTTATTTGCATTTAATGTGTACTGTTGGCCAGCTATCAGAGTGGGAATTTAGAGATATTCTGGACTCCTACAGCACTTTCTACATGAGGCTAATGACTGTCAGGAAGACGTTTTCTTAATTCTGTTTATTATAGGACAGATGCTAATTAAAGCACTGTCTCACCAGGTGCTGAGTACCTTAAACAACTTCTTTACTCTGGGAAGGGTAATGCTGTGCTTATTTAGCGCTTAGTGATGTTCTGCCTGCTAAAGATGTCTGGTCAGGAGAGAAATGTACAAGGGGAGAGCATATTTCAGTAAGTGGTACCAGTGATTGACTGGTGAGACTCTTAATTCATAGCCAGTTTGGGATCGGAGCCCCTAGAACTGTGGTTATATTTTGTTAGTAGAAGTGAAGAAATGTCTGAATCTCAGTAAAATCTGAGTGATGAACTATCTTGTAGCGTTCTTCAGAATAATAGTCAGTCAAAGCTACTTCAGGCTGACCATTTAAGCCTTTCTGAAATTTCTTTCATGAGAGAAACTACTTCTAGGGAATGAGGGGAATGGAGGGATGCGAGTCCATGCGTGCGCAGGAGTGGGAATGAGGAACTATTCCTGCTGGAGCAGAGCAATTGATGCCTTCTGCAGGAGAGGCTGGGATGGCATTTCAGAAGTGGCAAGGGTGGTGCTCTCCCTGCACTCAGCCTGCAAACCTCCTCGAGTTCTTTCCAGATGAAAGGCACTGGGAACTTTGCAGTTGTATTTACAACCTCAACGCAGCAGATATTCCACCATATCAAGTTTAACTGTACTGCTCTGCTGCCTGAAGAGTGGGGGGCTTGGAAAAAAGATTTGCAGTGGCCAACAAATGGGTTATTCACAAATTCCTCTGAGTATCTCCCAATCTGCATAGGTCCAGTGTTTGCTGTATAATGACTTATAAATATGCAAATAGTAGCTAAAAGTGCTTTTAGAGGTAAAGGGTAAGAAAAAGATAGATTTGACCTCACAGCAGCCAAAAATGATGTCCTAATATATTTCTGTGTGTTCTACTACTGGTAGCACTCAAGAGCTTTCCTAAAGATTGGGGGTAATTCTGTTTGCTTGCATTTCCATTATTGTGTCTTCCACATAACTGACTCATAGGAAGAAAAAAAGGAAGTTTTGATCTATCTGTTAAGTCAATCTGTGTTTTTTATTGTATTTGTTAACAATTACTTGAACAATCATAAGCTGTTACGGAGAATAACCTTGTTAGTATAGTCAGGTAAGTGTTTAAACGTGTGGAAAAAAATATCAATCCTCCTGCAATGCCATTTAAGGTTAATGTTGTTCAAGATCCACGATCGTACATGTGACTTCCTGATACCTCATAACTGCCTCTCTGGGGGGAGGTTCTCTTTGCCCCATATGAAGTAACAGTTATGGTATCTTGCCTGAAAACAATACAAGGAATTGCACAGACCTGGGGGAGTTTTTCCTCCTGTTCTTGCTCTTGGAGAACTGCTGTGATTGTTTTATTAACCATTTAGATTTTCATGGGCACTAATTCTCCAAAAGTAAAGTATTGATAAGCAGGGAGGAAGAGTTGGTTTTATAAAAATAGGTCTAAAACATGAATTTTTCACAGAAGATGGAGACCATATCTGAGCTTGAGGTTTTCTGCTAGAGGACGATGGCTTGTTTTCATTTGGGTAGTAGATGGTGGTAGGGGTTTATAGATGCCTGTTAACAATATCCTGCAAGGAAGCTGGAGACTGACAAAAATACCTGTCTGGTGCCTTGACAAGGCTTGAGCGCATGCCTAGGTAGTAAGTCATGTACGTGTGTGTATGTATGTGTGTCTTTGAATTATCATTATGTGGATGCATATATGTATCACTCCAGAACTAGATGGTGGCGCGTCTGAAAGTTCATATTCTTGTACTTAAGTATTTACACACTTTAATCCAAAATAAGGCAAATACCCATAACTTTATAGAGAGAGTATATTAAGTTCAAGGAAGTAGTTAAATGCAGGCCTAATTTTGAGCATGGACTCAGGTCCAAGTGAAGTAAACTCTTTCACATGCTCATCAGCAGTGAACCAACAGTTTATGTTATGAAAATGATTAAAGCAGTGTTTGTGTATGAAATGTGGCTGTCTGTTTTCTCCTTGTTTATGTGATACATTCTCTCTCTCTCTTTTTAAGCTATCTATGAACAATCTTGTGAGGCTTACCGACACCAAGGGAAGATGTCAGGTTTCTTTTACATCGATTCTGATGGAAGTGGACCACTTGGACCACTCCGTGTTTTTTGCAATATAACAGGTAATGACCTAACCTTATCTTTGGTTCTTTATGTTGCCTCTTATGTTATTGGCATGTCTATTATTGTACTACTGAGAAGACCCCACAATCATGAGTGTCTCAGTAATGGGAAAAAGAAGAGGACTGGTAGTAGCTGAGATTCCACTCTGAGGTGTTTCCTTAAATATGATCCATGTAAAAGTCATTTTTAAACTTTAAGTTTGAAGGACTCACCTTGTACTGTTGCTAAGTGGTATTTACAATGGTATTTGCACCTTTTAAAGGGCATGGATGGTGTGTTTTTCATAATACTATATCTTTTAATGAGATGATTGTATTTTTTACTAAAGATGTAGAAACCTAGAATTCAAACCTTCTTTTGTAACTGTGAATGGTTTCTCTGCTTTACTAGAACACCAGGTCTGGGAATGATTATTAAACTCCTGTACTGAGCTAGCTGTAAACCCTTACAGTTTGACTTGAGCGGGAATAGTGCCCCTCATATGTGTGTGCTGCCTTTGATGTCACAGAGAATAGAAACCCTGATTGTCCTGGGTGTCTGTCCAGAGGAGAAGGCGTGATGCTCTTAGGAGGAGGGACACCAAAGAGACAGGTAGCAGAGCAAGAGCCTGGCAAGGTGACCTGTTGGTTGAGACTTCTCAACCATAGAGTTCTGTATTTTTAAAATAAAAAGTGTTTCAAAGAAATATACCTGTCTGGCAAATTCTCCCCTTAAGTGGGTCCTATTTTGTATATAGGACTGTCATGCAAGGGTATGAGAAAATATTACATAGCCCATATTGTGGATTGGGGTGGGTGGTAGAGCATCCTTTCTGCTTTTTATTTTTGAAATGGAGGGGAAATTTCCTAGACTGTCTCCTGTTTGGCATTTTTTTGCTTCCTGTGGCCAGGTGCGGATGAAAGAGTATTTTATTACCCCTTCTAAATTGCTAATTTTGGTTGAGCTACTTTGCCGCATATCACCTCCACACTCAGCCCTGAAAACTAAGGACTCAGGATATTCATATTTTATCCTTAATCTCCTTCTACTTAAAGTGTCTCAAATTAAATTTTCATTTTGATTTAATTGGGCAATCATTATGTTAATTAAATGCACACCAGTTAATTATTAAGTATGTTTTTTTTATTCGAGTGTAACAAATATTTAATAAGATGTATCTCCTTCGCTGTTGTTAAATCTCGTAAGAATTGAAACCGAGTTTCACCTTTCTGTCTGAATATCCTTCCTTGATCTCCAGTATGGGAAATGTGCTCATTTTTATTATTTATCATATAAATATGTGTGATCAAAACATTGTCAGAGCTTTTTATCTCTGCTGATGAAGTAGGATTTTTGACAAACTCCTTGCAGAAAGCATCTGCTTTCCTCAAATAAATTTTATCTGGCAGTAATCCAGAAGGCATATACCTGATTTTCTCTCTGTCTGTAATGAACTTGCTGACATTGTTATTTTATTTTGGTTACGAGAAAAGTGGAGGTGGGGAAAACTGACAGAACCTCCTAGCCTGGAAAACTTTTTCTTTTTGTATTTCTTCTTGTCCCCTAGATGTCTCATTTGGGGCAGGGGAAGGTCATTTGTCACAGGCATCTCTCTATTACTCCTATTGGCATAAAAGAGGACTGAGGCACAGAAAGAAATTACTGTTTTACAGTTGTCCAGAGAGTTTGAGGTACAATTGGGTTATGCTTCCGTATCATCTAAATGTGGTTTGGGTGCCTTAATCACAAGAGCTTCTTTTCTCTCTGGGAACATACCTTATTGTTATGCTGATAATATTTGCTTACCGTAATAAACTAAGTGCAAAGTATGGAAAAAATAACTCAACTTTACGTACACAGGGATGGATTCTGAATTTTTTTACTCTTTTCAGGTAATGCTTCTGCATAGTTTTCTGAAAGTATTCATATTCAGGGAAAGTAAAAAAATTAAATTCTATGTTGTTATGTTAGGAACATACAAGGAATAGAGACAAAATACTCGACATTATTATTGTTCAGTGACATAAATCCATATCACAATTTCTGTGAATGGAAAAATGTAGATGGTCAGAAGTGTGGATGGCTTCCATGTGTAAGGAAACTAAACAAATTAAAAAGATCGGGGAGGAAACTGGCACAGGAAAGTATGGAGTTCATATGTGGCATAGAGAAAGCAACTAGGGATTGATTCTTTTTCATCATATAGGAGCTAACGGACAGTTAAATTATTATATTGGGGGTTTTTTTGATTGTTTTCTTTTTCCTGATGCAATGAATAATTCAACATGAAACTTACCACAGGACATCAAGGAGTCCGATGTATGAACAGAGGAGGGGAGAAAAACCAAGCTGGAAATAGCTCCAGTCTTGTCTGATAGGTTTAGAAGGTGCGATTAAACATGGAGGTTTAGTTGCAGCTCCTCACTCAGGCAGCTGTGAGGCAAAGATCCCTGGGAAATGAGAATGAGTTTCAGGAAAACCTTTTGCCTTCCCTCACTTCCACTGGATATCTGTTCGCCCTCAAAGGCAGAGGCGGGTTCCTGGGCTAAATGAAGCTTTGCTTTTCCTCAGGCTGGCACTTCCGCTTTTTGTATACAGTTCAAGAAGAGGTAACCTCTTTATGCCCAAAATGTTCAGGCTGAAGAATTTGGAGGTGGAATGGAAAATCCGGGGAAATGACTCATTCAGTGCTTCATTCAGTAGAGGTGCAGTGAGCTAATGACTCCTGGGAATTACAGGGCCTTGAATCTGTGAAGGATGAATTCAAAGAAGGAATCAGATCATCAGAAATGAGCAGCATCATTGCATTTAGAGAACAGTGATGTTCCTTCATGTTCACTTCCATTTGTTTAAAATTCTTTTTAATTTTTACCTGTTGAATTGAACAGGTAGGGGTCTTGTTTGTAGCCAGTTATTAACCAAGGCAGACTAACACCAGCTTTCTCACATATTGGTGTCTGGTCATAGGCATCCAATATGTGATGTGGGTATGGGAAGTATCAATATTACAAGTTAATTTATTGTTGCTGTGGTCGCAGTGATTTCTCTGCAGCCTTGTCAATTTTAACAGCCCACTGCTGAATAAAAATTCTGAAGAAAGCAGAAAATTGTGATTGTGTGTGTGGAGAGGGAATTGGACAACCATGGAAAGAGAAATAAAGAAAGGGAAATTTTGCAGGGAACAAGAAAGAGGAAAAAAGTATTTGAAAATATAAAGGCAATTTTCAGCATGGCAAGAAATTTAAAAGTAGACTGTCACAGGATATCTGCTGATACCAAAGTGGATAAATGTATTTATTCATTGTCTAGAGAAGTGGCTGAAAAAGCAAGGTGACAAATATTGTAGATGACATACTATTATTTAAATTGGTCAAGAAAAGGGAAGCGTATGTGAAGCACTTTAGAAGAATCTTGTCTTGAAGGCTGTTTATTTCTAGTAGAAGTAAAATATGTTGTTGAAATAGGAGGTTGTCAGGAACAGTAATTTACATAATTAAGGGCATAGAAAGATACCTGTTCAACGAGAGGTTAAAAGTAAATAATCCAGGGCTATTTAGACTGGGAAGACTCAAAGTGAGTGGACCTCATTGACAGAAGCGATGTTCATTTGCATTTTCTTGCAATAGGAATAAAGAGACAGTTCAATGGCATCGAAAGACAACAAACTCAAAACTAGAGAAAAAAAAAAAAGACAGCACCTTATTAACATAATGTTTTCTTCACCTTATCTACCCATTACACACCCAAGGCAAAGTCACTTTCACCGGGAAATTCATCAACTGTAGAAATCCACACCAAATATGTGTGTGTGTGGCAGAAGTGAACCAGGTGTGTGTGCCCAAACCATGATTGTATGTCACTGGATGCTGTGTGAGACACCATGAGGATTTGTGTGGGTCCATGCAGGGATTGTTACTTTGGGATGATTGCATTCGGCGCTGTGGGAACATAACTAGCCCCTTTCCAGGGCCATCCGCATGGGAATGTGAACTAGCTCTGCTTGCTTTACCTGGCTTCTCCCATCGTCCATGATGCTCTATGCCCATGTTTTTTTACATAAAGTACAGAGCGAATGTATCCTGTCATGCTTTGGGGTAATGAACAACCACCAGCACTGGGAAAGATATTTTCCCTGTAGGCTGATTGTTTGATAATTAGCCCAGTTGAATTAATCTTCACTTCCCACTGAAGTGACTGATAACAATCAATACAGCAAATGGCTAATGGACCCCTGAACGTCTGGTCTGGCAGTCGTTCTATCATTGTGAGGCTTATTATTTTTCTCTTGTTGCTTAGAAATCTATCGATCTGTCTTGAGCATGACTTAAATGCTACTAATCATATTGTCCAGTGCAAGGTCTATAGACGTGCAATCTACATTCATGTACTTGTTTTGCTGCCCTGTACGGAAGGTGTTTGTAACGACCTTTCCTCATCTCCTCCAGAGTAAATTTTACCCTTCATATCTGAAAGATTTGCTTACAATACACTTGAGTCATTCTGTCACCATACGTCTTTACTAATGCTGTTTTACTGTATGCAGACCCTGGGCTATCAAATCAATAATGCTTAGAAATTGCCATGATGAGATCAATGGTTAATTTTGTCTTGGCCAGAAAATTGTCCAGTCCTCAAGTAGCTTTCTGCTTTCTGTCCCCTCCCCCCCCTCTTTTTTTTCCTCTAGGGGTGTAGATTGGGGAAAGATGAGTCTTTATCCCAGCTCTTACTGCTAGTCCGAGATCTGGTTTTGAAATAATGAAAAAATCACTAATGAACAAAAACATATCTCTCCTTGTTGCGGATCTCTGTTTTGCAGTCTCTTCTCAAAATGCAAATACTGCCTATTTTTCTAATGCAAGAAAATTAAAGCTTTATTTTCTCTATCTCAGAAAACTGCACAGAAACTGTGTTTAAATCTCAGACAAAGTTAAGAGATTCTATAAAGAAATGAAGGAAATCACCCGAGTTATACTAGCAATTTTTTATAAATTGCCTCTAGCCTTTTTTTTTTTTTTTTTTC